CTGAATTGCTGAGACTGGCTTTGAACTAACCATCCTCCTGTCTCAGCCTCTAAAGCTGCTGGGATTACAGGCATGTGCCACTGTGCCCAGCTCTGTCTTCTGTTTTCTCTTCTCTGGAACAACATGTATAAATTAAATCTTGCAGGGTTGGTAGAACTCCTTTGTAAAGCTGGCCTGTTGGGGTTTTTGATTTTTTTTAAATATTTTTAGTTGTAGATGGACACAATGGTTCATTTATTTTTTATTTAGTTTTATGTGGTGCTGAGAATCGAACCCAGGGCCTCACACACATGCTAGGCAAGTGCTGTACCACTGAGCCACAACCCCAGCCCCTGTTAGAGGTTTTTGATAGATGTATTTAAAATGACTGCTTCATTTCCTTATGTTATAGTTTTGCATTTGATTTTCTGTTTTTTCTTTCTTGACTGAGTTTTGGTAAGTTGTGCTTATCTAGGAAATTATACTCTTCTAAGAAAATAGTCATATTTTCCATTTTTGGTTGGGTACAAACATGTTCTCTTATGATTTAAATAACATTGACCATGTCTATATTTATATCCCCTTTTTTCTCTGATATTGTTTACTTGTGACTTCCTTCTCTTTTTTCCTTATTCTGTTTTATCAAAAGTACATCTAGTTTAACATTCTTTTCAAAGAAATAGCTCTTGGGAGTTTATTGTGTGTGGCAGACACTATTCTAAGCAGTGGCGTGAACAAAATGGATTTAAAAAAAACCCCTGCCTTGTTTGAAAGTATAATGTAATGTGGGCAGGCAGTCAGTAACCAGTCAGTATAGCAAATTAGCAAATTCCATAGTAGATTAGAAGGTGATGATTGTTGTGCAAGTAGAGGGTGAATATGGTTGAAAATTGAACATACGATTCCACTGGTAGAGCCAACAGGATTTACTTAGCATTTGTGTTGTAACATGAAATTATAAAAATATTATAGTAAGAAACCAGTACCTGGGGAGAGGGTCAGTTCTTTTCCTCTCAGCCTTTCTTCAGGAACCTCAGGGGTCCCTATCTTTTGGATTATATATAACTACCCTGGGAGTTCCACTTCTCCCTCTTGAAATGTAAACATACCTGTACCAGGCTTTTTAAAAAATATTTTTAAAAAATTATTTTTAGTTGTAGATGGACACAACACCTTTATTTTTATGTGGTGCTAAGGATTGAACTCAGTGGCTTCCCCAGGAGAGGCCAACACTCTACCACTGAGCTACAACCCCAGCCCCTGTACCAAGCTTTAAGGCTAGAGGTTTAACAGATGCCTGTGAAAACAGCTGGTTCTTCTTATCTGTTTCTGTAAGCATGCTTTCTGTTAGAGACCTGGCCCAAGGCCTGCAGCCTCGTAGATTAGGAACACTTTTAAAAAAAGGAAAAAAGCCCCAATGAGAGGATGGCATCTAAGATGATGCCAAATAACATATATATATATAGTGAGAAACTGTGGATCAGGGCTCAGAATTTGTATTCTCTGGGACGCCCATGTAAATAAAGTTTGGAGTTCTCTCCGAGTGCTTCTGGTTAATTCTCGATGGGTCTGTTTCCCGCAACAGTGAGAGGAAGGGAAGAATCAAGACATATCCAAGAAGCTTGGCCTACAAAATCACAGTGACAGTTGCTGACGGTGTTGCTTGGGTTGCACTGTTTTCTATATTTCAACTACCCTATTTATATTTCTTTCCCTATATTTTATTTGGAGTTGATGCACTGTTCTTTTCTGAGTTAAGAGAGTAAATTGTCTAATCTAAATCTTTCCCTTTTTCACTGTAACATTTTAATTTAAGGTTATATATTTCCCCTTGTTAAAAGATAAACTTAGGCACTTAAAATTTGCTTTTCAAAGTTTTATTAGAGCCAACAATGATTCATGAATTAGCTTCTGACCACAATTGGTCCAGGACTTTACCAAAGAGGCATGAAGGAAAAACTTTTAAGAGATACATGTGGAGCAAGGCAAAAAATACTTGAGTGGTTAATGTGGATTGGAGCCAGGTGCTGTGGCAATTTGTAATCCCAGTGGCTCAGGAGGCTGAGGCAAGAAGATCACAAATTGGAGGCCAGTCTCAGCAACTTAAAAAGACCTGTCTCAAAAGAAAAAATTAAAAGGGCTGGGGACATAGCTCAGTGGGAGAGCATCCCTGAGTACCATAAAGAAAGAAAAATGAAGTGGTAGCATTAAAGTCCCTAGCTATAGATTAGTTGGCCACTTCAGATCAGTAGTGCTTAAGTTCCGCGTGGTGTTCTCCATTTGTTGGGTTTTCGGTTTACTCAGGTAGGCACTCAGGCTCTAGTACTGCCTCAGATAATGGCTTCCCAATAAACCATTTTAACACCCTAAGAGCTGTGTTAGCTGCCTTACACAAATTTTTATCTGAATTGTTTTTCTTGTCATTTAGTTTTTAATATTCTTTACCTTCCATTGTGATTTTTCTTCAACCCACACATTACTTAGAACAGTATTTTTTTCAACATTTCACAGATATATTTTAACATTTAACAAATGTACTTTTAAATAACTTTTGATATTGATTTCTCTTTCTATTACATTTTATTTAGATGGTATTGTCTGGATGATATTGATTCTTTGATGATTGTTGAAGCTTGCTGTATTAGAATAGAGTTACTATAATGAAATGCTCTAGGCAACTCACTTTAAAAAGAGAAAATAGAGAGAGATAGTTCAGTTGCTGGAGTGCTTGCCTTGCATGCATAAAGCCCTGGGTTCAACCCCTAGCACCGCCAAAAATTAAAAAAGAAGAGACCTAGTCTCAAAAATAAAAAAGGCCTGGGGCTATAGCTCAGAGGTAGAGCAACATCCCCTGGGTTCAATCCCTAGTAACACATACACACACACATACACAAATACACACACACACATGAAGGGAGGGGTGGGAAGAAGAGGAAGAAGGCTTATTTAGTTTATGGTTTTGGAGGTTCAAGTCTAAGATCAGGAGGCCCTTTTGATTTGGCCTCTGGTTTGGGTGGCTCATCGTGATGGGTGTGTGTTGGAGCAAAATGTTACATCTCAAGCCAGGAGTTGAGAAAGAAAGGAGTTCAAGGCCCCACAGTCCCCTTTGAAGGCATATCCCCAAAGACCTAAGGACCGCTCATTAGGCCCCACCTCTTACAGATCTACTGTACCTCCTAATACTACCACCTTGGGGACCAAGACTTCACATAGAAAACTTTGGGGGACACCCAAATTATATCAAACCATAGTACTGCCTTGTGACATGTTATGCTCATCCAAAAGGACTCAATTCTGCTGTATGGATGCAGATTTTTCTATATGACCAATAGAGTAGATTTACTAACTTAAGTAGATTAAATCTCATGGTTAAGCAGAATCCTTTCATCTAAAAGCCAAACACTGGGGAAAGCAGATGGAGAGTACAGGTGAGCATCTTTCTCTTTCATGTGTAGATTGCAGGCTGAGGAGCTCAGGGGTGAAGTAGGGGAGCTGCACCCAGAGTGGGCTTGGATCCAGGAGTGTCTAAGAGCTGGCTGCTCAGAAAGGCTTTGTCAGGAAATTAGGGACAAGATCTGGGGCTCAGAAGCAGTGATGGGCTGAAGCTCCATAAGGCCTTGCTGTGTGAGGTATATTCTCTGAGGACTGAGGATCCCGCAATCCACTCGTGACACCACATTCTAGTTCATCCCAGATCCTGTGTTGTGTCTGGATCCTCAGTTACCTCTGACAGCAGATAATTGCTGCAGAATCTAAAATTTCTGTCTTCCTCTTTGGAGGGGCCTGCACAGAATAAAATCTGCCATCTGGACTTTTCTTGGAACCACTGATTCTGGGTATCACTTTGTTCTGTGGCAGTGCAGCTAGGAAGCTGCCAACAGCACATGATTGTGCTGTGTGCTTAGGTCAGTGTGCACCCTACTGCTCCTGCCAAGCTCTCCTTGTTGGCGGTGTGGAAGTCAGGGACCACTCCCCTGCATCGCAAAAAGGGACATGGGTGTGGGATGCCTGGTATTGACCATGGACCAGATTTTCAACTTCCTGAAAGGAAGCTGATATTGTAAAAGACCCTTCAATGACCTTGGCCATAAAATAGCCAGTTTAATGGTGTGTATTGTAAGGTGCTGCTGAGTAGGTGTAGCTTGTTAAAGATGTTCTCTGTCAGTTGGCTAGCAGCCAATGGCTGGGTGCTGGAAGGTTCTAGAATTTCTCTGGACTCCACGTAAGGACAAGAAGTGGTTATGTGTGGGTAGGGCATTTGAAATCCTCCAGGATGGGCAGTTAGAGCAGGATGAGCCTAGTCCCCAGGGCAATGGCTTGTTTGGTGTGTTGAGGGCTCTTTTTAGAAAATTGTTTTACTTTGGTGGGGTGGCCATAACAACGTGCCACAGGCTAGGGTAACTTAAACAACAAAAATTTTGTGTCTCACAGTTCTGGAAGCTGGAAGTCTGAGATCACGGTGTTGGCAGGGTGGGTTCCTTCTGAGGGCTGCAAGGAAAGAACATTTCCCAGGCCTCTCTATGGCTTCCAGATGGCCGTCTTCTTCCTCTGCTTCTTCGCATCATCTTTTCTCTGTTGCTGTCCAAATTTCCTTTTCTTATAAGGACTCTGGTTCTATTGGATTAGGGACCACCATACTGGCCTCATTTTAACTGAATTACCTTTGTAAACACCCTTTCTCCAAATTTAGTCATATTCTAAATTGTCAGTGGTTAGAAGTTCCACATAAGAACTCTGTTCAGCCTGATAGCCATTTCAATGTGGGCTTTAACCTCCTCTAATTGAGCAATATTCATAATCTTCTCTAGTATTTCATTCTTAGGCATGAAAAATATTCACAGATTTTGGTTACAGAATTAATGCAGGTTTTACTCACTAAGTGATTCTTGTCCTAGCTGACTTATAATAAACTGCATGCCTAAAAGCCCCTATTTCTTTCTTCCTTCCAAGAACATCGTTCTTTCCTCTAAAAATAGATGACCTTACTCTGGATGTTCTTGTTCTGTTTTGTTTTCCTCCAGGGGATGTACCTCTTACCCCACAGCCAAAGTGCACTGATTTCCAGAATGCCAACCTCCTCCGAGGCACCAATCTCAAAGTGCAGTTTCTCCTCTTTGCACCTTCAGATCCTAGCTGTGGGCAGCTACTGGAAGAAAGCAGTGACATCCAAGACTCTGGGTTCAATGCCAGTCTGGGAACCAAACTAATTATTCACGGATTCAGGTGGGAGCTAACCAGCCAGTAGGATCTCTTCAACTGAGAACTATGAAGGGGACATAGTGCCACAGGAATTTAGTGGGGAGCAAGGGGAGGATTTACTGACCATCACATGATCCATCTCTCAAGCCTGGCTGTTTTGGAAGACATCTCATCAACACTCACACCTCTGTGTCCTTCATTCTTGTGAGTCATGAATATGTACATGCATACTCACAAACAGTACATATATGTGTGACCTTGACAAGTCACTCCATACACAGAACTTCAGTTTCCACATCTGAATTAAAGAAGTTGTAGGGACATCTCAGTGGTTCCTGAGTGAAAACATCATGCTATTACCCCTGAAGTGTGGGCTGTGTGACATGATTCATCTCAGACAGTAAGGTCACAGGCTTTGTGAAGTTACCCAGGGGTGATGGCATGGTGTTTTTATGTCGGGTTTTATTTCCTTTTTTTCACTTTTTCCCTGGTTTTGTGACCTGAGAAACTTCTATTTATGGGTACTTCCATCATACCCAAAGTTTAGTGTTTCTCAGGAGTTAGAACACATCTCTTCTACAAGTTCTGATATCCTACGGTCCAAATTTTGTCATAACATATAGTCACTGAGTCTCAATTCAATGACTCCTTCCTTCCAACAACTTTCACCCGAAGTCCAAGACAAGACCAAGAACAGAAAGGTTCCCAGGAGGAACAAAGGAGAGACTGTGGTGGAATAGTAGCACTGTAGAACCACTCAAGTTGAGGGTATCTGATGAAGAGTAGGCACAGAGGATCACCACTTCCTGATTCCTGTCCTCTCCACCTCCTGGATCCCTGGATTCCCAGCCACATAATTCCTAGACATTCCCTCCTCACTCTTGTTCCAAAGTCTGTCCTCAGGCAAGCCTCACACTCAGTCACTATCCAAGGCTGAGCCTGTGCCTCCAATGCAGGGATGGCTAAAAGAGCTGGAGAGCTCATCAGGCCAGTTGTCTGTCTGCTTCTATGTCCCCCCAAACCCCTTTCCATGGCACAACCCAATCTGCACTCCTCTGCCCACGTGAGCATGCTCAGATTGTTCCTATAGTGGAGGTTATTTCAAAAACTTTATTTCTGATCCCAATCTATTGGGAAAGAGTTCTGAAAAAAATTCCATCACTCTGTTTCTACAGAAGTCTCATTATACCTTAAGTTTCAGAAAAACAGGGACTATATCTTTTTTTTTTTTTTTTAATCTCTTAGAAAACATATAACATACTACCTGGTCCATAGGTCCGCAACAAAAGTTTGTTGAATGAGTGGATGAGTGAATGAATGAATGAAAACATCCTCAAGGAAAGAGCCTATATTCTAGAATAAGAATTAAGGTCACAAATATAAAGTTTAGGGTACAAAGTCATCTTTTCCACAAATAACACAAACAGGAGTTAGGCAGTGCGTGTGGTTTATGTAGTTTAGCATTGCACAAATGTGCCTGATTGAAAGCAGATGGGTTGAAATTCAGTTTGAGCTCTGAGCCCTGGCTTGAGACTGCAACTACCTGGACCATAAGGCACCCAGGTACAATTTACACAAAGCCTCCTCTGTTGGCGGGAGGCTTGGCAACTTTGGGATCATGTCCTCCGTGTATCCAAAGCACTGCATGATAAATTCCCCCTTTCTAGTTTTGACTTCTTCTCTGGGTTGGGATTAACAGAGGCTTCCATGACAATGGATATCAGCTTGGCAGGTCATTTTCCTCTCCTTTTTGTCCCCATGTCTAGGGCTTTAGGAAAAAAGCCTTCCTGGATTAATACATTCATTAGAGCCCTTCTGAATGCAGTAGATGCTAACGTGATCGCTGTGGACTGGGTTTACGGATCTACAGGTGTCTACTACTCGGCTGTGGAAAATGTGGTTAAGCTGAGCCTGGAGATTTCCCGTTTCCTCAGTAAACTCCTGGTAGGTGCAAAAGAGCTCAGGGTGATTTGGGGCTACTTACAGAGGAGAGACAGGGCACAAAGAGAAAAAAAAAATCACCTGTTAAGGGGGCTCAGGACAGAAGCAGAGCCCTTCAGGGCTTGTTGGTCTTTAGATCAAATCTAGAGTTAGTCACTTGGTGTTGAACCTGGCCGAGGCTCCTGCTCCTCCTCTGTAAAAGGAGTAGTAGATGGGCAGTGCAGATTGCCTGGAATTTAGTGGCTCCTTAATAGGGGATGTCCTGGTCATTAGTCACACACTTTGAAGTGAGGGGATAGTCAGGGAAGGGAAGAGGAAAAGTGATTGATGGATGAGAGGTCTGCCCTTTTCTCCAAATCATGGGTGGTGGGTGTGTCTTGCCCAGGGCACTCAGCCTCTGAAGTCTGTGGGAAAAGTTGTTGTGATCCAAAACAAATTCACTGTCAATGCCCATTCCAGGCGCTGGGTGTATCAGAGTCTTCTATCCACATCATTGGAGTTAGCCTGGGGGCCCATGTTGGGGGCATGGTGGGACATTTCTACAAAGGCCAGTTGGGACGGATCACAGGTAACATTTTCCCTGACCATCCTCCCAGGGTTCAGAGATAGAAAGGAATTGCCCTGGACATGCCTCTTTTGAGGTAGGCAGAGTGGTATATTGAGCCATTATATGATTGAGTCATCTATTACCACTAACATTTATTTATTGTAGTTGTTTTACATAAAACGCTATCATTACTATTGCATGGTCTCTAATATTAGTATCAGAGGCCATGTACTTCTGAGCCCCAGTGTCTAGATCTATAAAACGAGCTGTAAAATCCCTTATCTCCTTGGCCCACTGTGGGAATCACCTTCAGTTTTGCTACATACCTTCAAATGTGGGAGGGGGACTTTATGCTTCAGGAGCCATTCTCAAACAATAACGGAACGGACTAGGGCGATGTGGTAAATACCCCAATTTCCTGGCTCTTTGGTGGGATAATTCTGAGTCATGTTCCACATAGTCTTCCAGTGAGGCCCCAATGGGGTGAGAACTAGTTGCCCCTGAAGGTTCATATGAGCACATTAGCCACTGCCAAATGGTTGGTATTATCAAACCCATTTCAGAGCCAGAAAAACTGGGTCATTGAAGGTTACCACAAGAGAGACAACAGTGAGTGGAGTTTCTTGAGTGAGGTGGTCCTGAGTTAGTTCTCCCAAACCTTGGTCTTTGCTGGAGCACTCCATGATCTGAACTGGAGGGGTATCCAGGAAGGCATATGGTGGTCCCACTGCAGTTTCTACAGCTGAGAGGAAAGGGAGCTCCTAATAGCTATCTGTTCTTGCAGGCTTAGACCCCGCTGGACCAGAGTACACCAGAGCCAGTCTGGAGGAGCGCTTGGATGCTGGAGATGCCCTCTTTGTGGAAGCCATCCACACAGACAGCGACAGTGAGCAGGATGGGGGTGGGGGATACTTGCGCGTGTGACGTGTCTGGGGAGAGGGAGTAAGCACAAGGCAGAGGCCAGGAGGCTGGCACCTAGTGGTATGGCCCTGTCTCTCTCAGGGCTTCTGCTGCACAGTCATTATGAGAATGATCTTCAAAGTCTCTTTCGGGAGCCATTCTGTGACCACTGAGACAACTGGTTTTCTTTTTAGCGGCCAATACACGTAGGATTTTCATTTATGGATGAAACTCGCTTGTTTGGGAGTCCCTCTCTCTGATTCAAAACCAGACTTTGTACTGAGAAGGGATTGGGGAGGACGTTGCTGCCCAACTGATATGGGAAAGCTATGCTGCTTTTTCAGGGTGATTGTGTCTGGTCCCTGGGGATGGGGAGATTCCTCTCCCCATCTGGACTCCCCTTCTCCCCTGTGAACAAGCCCAATCCTCAGTGCAATGGAGAATGAGAAGCCCCCTGCCAATGGTGACAGACACAGGAAAGACCCCCCCAACTCTCAATCCATTATATCCAAATTAAGCCCTTCTGATCAACTAGGAAACGAGGTGGACAGTCTTCCTCATTTCTACTTGATAGAAAATGCCCAGAGTCTGTGCCAAGCACTGTACTCAGTGTCATTGAAGCAAGGAGAAATAACATCTGGTCTGACCAAAAGAGTTTTTAGTCAAGTGAGATCTTGTCTCAAAATAAAAAATAAAAAGGGTTGAGGATGTGGCTCAGGTTGAGAGCCCCTGGGTTCAATCCTCAGTACCAAAAACAAACAAAGATACAAAAAAAAAAAAAAAAACAAATGGTACCCACATTCACCAAATAAAATCAAGAAATACTCCTCAATCAAATTTGCATGAAATAATATTATGAACCTGGTAAATTTGAAGGAGATGTCTCATTCTCTGTGGTCACAAGCCTTCTCTAGCATCCAAGACCCACAGACAAGTGATTCTGGAAGAAGCCCTTGGAATCTCATTCACACCTTCACTGCCCAGAGAGGAAACCAAAGCCCATGGCACTCTGTCTGCCTCTGTCAGGTGAATTAACCTTGTTCATTAATAACACAAGTCCCTTATTCCCCTAATTTGGCTAACCAGATGACTTATTAGGTCTCCAGTTACCTGAGATAGGTCTTAGGCCCTTCAAAGTTCCTGATTGGATTGAAAAAAATTCATTCCATTTGTTCAATCCATCTTTACTGAGCTATGTAACCAGTACTGAGAATACAGCAGTGAACAAGGCTTAGACAAGGTCTCTGCCCACTCAGAACTCACAGGCTTCGGGATCAGGCACTTATCTATTTATTCACTCAATAACTATTCGGCACTCACTACGAGCCAGGGAGTGTGGTAGGTGGTAAGGACCCAGCAGAGAAATGTCAGGCAAAAGACCTGCCATTGTGGATCTTACATCCAAGGAAACAAATGAGATGACTACACATTTTGATTATTATAATGAAGAAGCAGTGAGGTGGGGGGTGACAGGTAGGGGATCTGCTCCATAGGATTCTTGGAGAACATCTGCTCAAGAAGAGGTGGGGTAAATCTTAGCGGATGAGAACAAGTCAGCCCTGGGAAGGCTGGGAGAAGAGCATTCCAGGTACAGAGGATCCCTCCAGCTAGAAGTGAAATGCAGGCCTAGACACAGTTTTGTTCTAGAGACAAAAAAAGGTACCATATGGTTAGAGGGCAGCAAAGGAGGAGGAGGTGTTGAATGTGTTGGAGAAGAGGGAACAGTCTAGGCTGGACTCTGCAAGGAGCTTCCCTTTGGTTCTAAGATCCCTGAGAACAGGGCAGTGACTTGGATTTCTTTAAGAGACTGCAGCTTCTATACAGGAAACCAAGTACAGGAGGGTACTAAGGGAGGCCCAGAGGCCCAGGACAGGGCAATTGCAAGGGTTGTCTGGGTGAGAGGTTGGAGACTTGGGCCAAGGTGAGGGCAGTAAGAGAAATATTCAGAATATATTTCTAAATATATTCTGAGATAGAGCTGACCACACTCTAATGGGCTGGGTGTGGGAAGTGAGGGTAAGGCCAGGATTAAGGGTGATTTCTGTGTCTCTGCTTAACCCTTGGGTAGATGTCATTAAACAAATAATTCACTGTTTCATACAACAGTGACAGATGACCTGAAGGAGAAAAGCAGGGTCCCTGGTGGTTGGGCTAACCCAGCCTGGGGTTGGGAGAGGGGTCAGATGTGCTATATGGGAGAACCTAGGATATAGCCCCAGTGACAAGAGGAAGACTAGAGTCTCTCTTAAACTCAGCTCTTTGTAGTCACATCATATTTCCACTCAGTGAAGAAAGCACAAAAGAATGTTTTGCGGGAAACTGTGGAAATGTGGCCCCAAACTTATTTATCTGAAGTATTGCTTGAAGGAAAACAGAAACTAGGAACTTTACCAAGTTTATAATATTTTTTTTATAATACAAACTTGACTGAGGAGTATTTTCTTGATTTTATTTGGTGAATGCAGGTACCATTTTTTTGTTGTTGTTGCTTCTTTGTTTGTTTTGGTATTGAGGATTGAGCCCAGGCGCACTTAACTTCTGAGCCACATCCTCAGCCCTTTTTATTTTTTATTTTGAGATAAGATCTCACTGATTTGCTTAGGGCCTCACTGAGTTGCTGAGGCTGGCTTTAAACTCATGGTCCTCCTGCTTCAGCCTCCTGGGCTGCTGGGATTACAGGTGAGTATGGGTATCTTATACATTGATTCTTCTTTGGTTCAGCATGACTCGTCTTACAAAGTCTTGGAGCTCTTTGGAGTGAGGTGGACACAGACAGGGTGGGCTCCTAAGGCCAGAATTCAGGCACTGCTGCCAGTGGACCCTACTGTGAGTCCCCGAAGATATGTTCCTGAAGTAAGAAGGTAATGGGATTATGCCTCTTTCAGATTTGGGCATTCGGATTCCTGTTGGACATGTGGACTACTTCGTCAACGGAGGCCAAGACCAGCCTGGCTGTCCCACGTTCATTCATGCAGGTCAGAAAGCCAGAGCATTGGTGTTTGCCTGCCGCACAAGCTGGAGACCAACATTGGTCGTCACACTGAATTGACCAGTGAGGGCCACTGAGGGTTTTCTGACAAGGCCCTTTGCTGAGTCCTATAGTGCCTCACTCTGCACTTACCAAGAATCTTTGGAGACCTGAATTTCAGACAAATTTTTAGCCTGATTTTGGAAGCATTATACTTGTGCTGCCCTCCCCACTTACCTTAGGCCCTGACACAACTTCACATCACTCAAGCCAATCACTTCTTATTCTTCCTTGTGCCCTGATTTGTGGCAAAGCCCACACAAGCTGCATTCTCTGCAGAGTGGGGCTGTGGCAGAAACAAGCCAATGGGCCCAAAGCTAGTTAGCCCAGGAATCCATTCTCTGCATGATCACTTCACCAAATATAAGAAACTTAACTGTTTTCTAAAATTATCTTCAAGATCTCCTCCTCCTCTTCTTCCTTCTTCTTTGTACCCAGAAGCACTTAATCACTAAGCCACATCCCCACCCCTTTTTATTTTTTATTTTGAGACAATGCCTTGCTAAGTTGCTGAGGCTGCTTTTGAACTTGCAATCTTTCTGCCTCAGCCTCCCAAGCCACTGGGATTACAGGCGTACTAAGATGATCTTCTTGAACACATGCAATCAATATACATTACTTCTATTCTACACACATTCTTTTGGAATGTTCTTTTTGAATATATATTCTTCATAGCATTATTTATTTAAAAATACTAAATTTGTCAAAAGCTAAGCATTAAGGATTGTTTAGTCATATTCTTGGTATGACCATAACTAATATATTGACACTTCATGTAGAAGTTTTAAATGCTGATTTCTATGTTTCTTTTCCGGCTTCACTATATTCTTAACACTTTAAGGATACCTTTGACAATTTTATTGAATAATAATCAGTAATCTGCTTTACCAAATTTAGTAGTTTTCTAAAAATATGCTTCTTTTTGACAGTTTATTGAGTAATTTCAGTTATTTTGATCAGGTGGCCTAGTTTGGTTTCAATGGTGTTGGAAAATTTCAGAAGCATTTTAATGAACCACTTTTCATTTCTTCTTCATAAAAATTTTGAGAAAGGTATGGTTTGTCTCTGCCTCAGCTCCTTGTTAATGAAGGAAGGAACTTGGTTGTGGCTTGGGTGTCTCAATCTCAGCGGAAAAGAAAGTCAGCTCAAAGTTCCATCCTGATTACCAGTCCCACAAAGAGGGCCCAAGGGATGGGGGGGGTGGCTAAAGACCCAAGAAGCCTGCCTGGGGTTGTAGCTCACTATTTACCTTAGCCCCAGCCAATCCAGCCAATGGGAGTTGTTGCACATTTTTAAATAGGGTAGCAATAACAACAGTAGAACCAAGCTTTTAGTAAATTGGGGAACTTGGCAGACTGATTGCATCAGTCATTTGGCCAGTCAAGTGTCAGCACTTCAGCTTCAGAGACAACCGATCATGATTGCCTCACTGCTGGGTTAGGTAGAATGAAGTTGTAAAAAATTGGCTGTGTGGTTGGTGATGAAGAAGGCAGCCAATCATGTCCAGAAGTAAAGTCGGCATCTTCCCATCTTATAAAGGAGAGTTTGCATGATCACAGAAGAATAGCTCTGAAGTCAAGCAATTTCCACTGTAGATTAAGCTTATATAACTCAGGAAAAGGAAAAGGGAGAAAGGGGTAACCATGTCCATTAATACTTAAGAATGTGAGTCAGGGGACATCTTATGTATTTATAGCCTTCTCGAATATGAAATATGGTAGAGTTACAGTAAGTAGCATGAAGGGAATTTCCATTTGTCTTGACTGAAAACTTGGCTGTTTTTTCCCTCCGGTTCAGGTTACAGTTATCTGATCTGTGATCACATGAGGGCTGTGCACCTCTACATCAGTGCCCTGGAGAATTCCTGTCCATTGATGGCCTTTCCTTGTGCCAGCTACCAGGACTTCCTTGCCGGAAACTGTGTGGATTGCTTTAACCCTTTTCTGCTTTCCTGTCCAAGGATAGGTAAAATGTCACCCTTTGGACTCGGACTCACTTTGACAATGTGGGGAAAGTTCACATCCTGCCAGTTGTCACCTCTTTACCTTCTAAGTTCCAGTGGTTGAAAGATCTATCCAGCTGAGGGAAAGAAAAATTAACCCAAGAGGTGTTAGCCTGTTCTCACAGAAGATAGCAGCTGGCCCTCTGTGTTCTGCCTCTCACCAGCTCTCCTGCTCCCTGCTGCCACACTCCCTCTGCACCGACAGCCCCTCTCATCTGGACGCCCAGCCTCAGGACACTCTCTAGAAACATTGGCACAATGCGGAGCCCCTGCCCTTCTCTGACAGATACTTCTATAAGTCCTTCTTACTAGGTTGGCCATCTCCAGCTCTTCACAGCCCCTTAATTAGTGTGTTCTGGGGAAACTCCAAAGTGGCACACGGGCCTACTTCAGAGGTACGACATTGTGATGGCCACTGTGATGGCCAGTGTGGAAGGAATTGACTAACAGCTGAGCCACTTGGGCATGTTCCTAAATGATCCAGGCCAGTCTAGGGAGAGAAGGCTGATGGATCTGTCCTCTAACTTGCCTGTGTAGACTATTGCTGCAGATATCCTGGGGTTATCCAGGGTGAAAAAATCCTGAGTAGTGGAAATACTCCTCCCCCATTCCACACTCTCCCACCTCCCACCACTCCAAACTGCAGCAGCCTAACATTGCTTATACAAATGAAGTGCATACCTGCTTGATAAAATGTTAGAGGAAGGGTATCTTACCACAACAAAACAAGCCAACACTATTTCAGGCTCAGTGGATATGTGTCTGCATTGTCCCCAGATGTGATGGACCAGTCGATGTAACAGCCACTTCCCATTGACTGCCCAGCCTCAGCTCTCTCTCCACTTTTCCTTGCACCGAACACCTTAGGGATGCTAACCATGTGTACTTCCAAGGGTATAGCACATTTCCTCATCATGTGGGCCTTTGCCCTAACTCTATTCTCTGCCCTGATCACCCTCTCCCTGAATACCATCTGCAGTCTCCAGATCCAATATTTCCCTTGCACTGTTTTTGCTGCACAGGATACAAGTGCCATTAAACTGTCATGTAGACTGATTTGCAAGGAAAAGACATAATTTTAAATTTCTTATGATTATCTATTGAGAATGGGTCATATAGCCAGGCATGGTGGCACATAGCTGTAAAACCAGCATCTCAGGAAACTGAGGGAGGAGGACGGGGAGTTTGAGATCAGTTTGGGCAACTTAGAGAGATACTGTCTCAATATAAAAATTTTTTAAAGGGTTGGAGGTGCAGCTCCGTGGTAGGGTGTTTGTCTAATAGGTGCAAGGCCCTGGGTTCAATTCCCAGCACCTGGAATGAGTACACAGTGTAGCTGTCTGTTTCTGGGTATGCGAATTAATTTGTATTTGGCTGGGTGCTGAGCCCAGAGCTCAGACTCTGATCACACAAGACCTGGATTTGAATCTCAGCTTCTCCATTTCTCCTGAAATGGCCTCCTCTTTGCTTCTTAATTTCCAGGGCTAGGAGACCAAAGTGGTATCAAGATAGAGCCGCTTCCCAAGGAAGTGAAAGTCTACCTCCTGACCACGCCCACGGCCCCCTACTGTGGTGAGTAGGGAGAAAATGCATGCTGTGTCAACGTGCCTTTTGGAAGAGTCCAGGACTCCAACCTGGATTGTATCCAGCCCAGTGTTGGAGCCCAGTTGGGAGGCGAAGGACTGGGGCAAAGATATACTGGGAGGAGCAGTTCCTGGTCTTAGATGGAACCAGACTGTCAGAATGAGGCCAGTCCACACTTCCACAGATAAGGTCTTGGGATGTTCTATCGTTCATGTACTGATCCTCTTTTCTCCTCTCACCCAGATTTGCTGGGGGGGGGGGGGGGTGTTGGGTCTCTCTAGAGCAGTATTTGCTCACACTTCTGGGTCCTTCCTTCCTACACATTTCCTTCCCCCTCCTTGATGAACACTGTATATGTCTCCCACCAGGCAGCCCTACTGGATGAGGGTCCTGGGTAATGCACCCTCCACCAGCCTTCCCCTTTACAGACACATTCAAATGGTCCATAGTTGCTTTCACTGCATTTCTTCGAAGCTAAAATGCCCGTGATCGTAAAAGATGTAAAACATGAAAGCCTGTCTTAGGACAATGTAGTTCCTTCTTCCCCATGCTATTTATGTCTTCACTGTACTTCCTGGTTTATGTGTGTTGTCTTGGGGTCTTCCTGACTGCTTTGTGATGTGTACAGGACACAATTGTGCTGGTTTGGATGATACATTATGTGTCCATCATTTTAACTGGTTTTCTGATTAGCTTGTGTTGGAGTTAGTGGAGGGGTCTTTGTGACTATTTCTTCCAGTTACTGGAAGGCCTAGTGCAATGTGATTTGGAGCCCAGAGCTCAGACTCTGGTCACACAAGACCTGGATTTGAATCTCAGCTTCTCCACTTATCGGCTGTATGATCAGGAACAATTTACTTAAGCTTTCTGGACTTCTTATGTGGAAAATGGGAACAATAACAGTACCTACTTGCAAGAATCAATTGTGAGGATAAAACAAAATAGTATAAGGGAAGTCTCTGTCACAGTGATTGGAACCAAATAAAGAAGCATGTCCTTTCCTTTCCTTAGAGAATTTGAGAGAAGAACAGATGGAAGTGTTGCTACCTTCAGGCCAGAGAGAATTCCTAGCCACATCTCTCAGGGTCAGAGTAGGTTGCAGAGTCAACAGTGGGCTTTCTATGCGTGTCAGTCATTGGCTAGCCCAACTCTGAGAGAAGTGGGTGAGGAAAGGGAAGCTCTGAGGAACCAAGCAACATGCCCATGGTACACAGTTGGGTGAAAAAAATCAGCATCAACCTCAGATATTTTGACTCCCAAACCTATGTCCTTTCTGTGCAGCTCCTTCCTCCATGCTGGCCTCTGTTTCCACTCCGTGGTCACTTCTCCCACAGGCTGAGGAAGGAGGTGGGGTCTCAAGGTGGAGGCATGGCTGTCAGCCAGATGTCCTGGCTTCTGATTCCACCCCCTGGAATATGGCAGTAACCTGAACTGGCTCCACCCTGTCTGCACAGCTAGGAACACAGCTGCAGGAGAGCCTGGGACTCTTTTTTTTAATTTTTAAATTTTATTTATTCCAATTTGTTACATATGACAGCAGAATACAATTCAATTCATATTACACAAATAGAGCACAAATTTTCATGTCTCTGGTTGAACACAAAGTAGAGTCACACAATTTGTGTTTGCATACATGTACTTAGGGTAACGATGGCTGTCTCATTCCACCATCTTTTCTACCCCCCATGTCCCCTTCTTCCCCTCCATCCTCTTTGCTCTATCTATTCCTCCCATGCTCCCCACCATCCCCATTATGAATCAGCATCCTTATATTAGAGAAGACATTCAGCATTTGTTTTCTGGGGATTGGTTACTTCACTTAACATTATATTCTCAATCTCCATTCATTTACCTGAAAATGCCATGATTTTATTCTCTTTTAACACTGAGTAATATTCCATTGTGTATATATACCACATTTTCTTTATCCATTCATCTACTGAAGGGTATCTAGGTTGGATCCATAGTTTAGCTATTGTGAATTGTGCTGCAATAAACATTGATGTGGCTGTGTCCCTTAAGTATGCTGTTTTTAAGTCCTTTGGGTATAAACTGAGGGTTGGGATAGCTGAGTCAAATGGTGGTTCTATTCCAAGTTTTCCAAGGAATCTCCATACTGCTTTCCAGTTTGGTTGCACCAATTTGCAGTCCCACCAGCAATGTAAGAGAGTGCCCTTTTCCCCACATTCTTGCCAACACTTACTGTTGTTTGTATTCTTAATAGCTGTCATTCTGACTGGAGTAAGATGAAATCTTAGAGTAGTTTTGATTTGCATTTCTCTAATTGCTAGAGATATTGAACGTTTTTTCATATATTTGTTAACTGATTGTATATCATCTTCTGAGAAGTGCCTTGGCCCATTTATTGATTGAATTATTTGTTTTTTTGGTGTTAAGATTTTTGAGTTCATTATATATCCTAGAGATTAGTGCTCTATCTGACGTGCATGTAGTAAAAATTTGCTCCCATTCTTCAGGCTCTCTATTCAGTTCACTGATTGATTGTTTCTTTTGCTAAGAAGAAGCTTTTTAGTTTGAATCCATCCCATTTATTGATTCTTGATTTTAATTCTTGTGCTATAGGAGTCTTATTAAGGAAGTCAAGTCCTAATCTGACATAATGGAGATTTGGGCCTATTTTTTCTTCTACTTGGTACAGAGTCTCTGGTTTAATTCTTAGGTCCTTGATCCACTTTAAGTTGAGTTTTGTGCATGGTGAGAGATAGGGGCTTAATCTCATTTTGTTGCATATGAATCTCCAGTTTTTCCAGCAACATTTGTGACTATTGAGACTATCTTTTCTCCAATATATGCTTTTGACCCTGGGACTCTGTTAAAAGCATTTTAAGGTCCCTGCTAAGATAGATTCACAGACTCCTGATTTTTCTATTCTTGTTTGTTGTGAGACCTCCTCCTTCTACCAAGAAACATGGCCCTGTATGTTCAAAAACCACAGAGAGGCACAGAAGAGAGCAAGCCAGCATGAACACCTGCTCACCTGTGTATTGTAAGTCTCTGATTCTGAGGATGGAAGCAGGTCTTCCCTCCAGGACCAGGCATGAGCAAACCTATCTAAGAATGCTCAGTGGGGCCCAGCTGCCAGCTCACAGCTATCCAGCCACTCCCAGGCCTTCATGGCATTGGGCTCCCATGCCAGCACCCTTGGTCCGCCTCCACCTCAGCACTGCCCATGAGGACAGTGATCACCCTTGATTTCTGCCAAGCATGTGCCAGTATGAGCAGAAGATTTTCTATAAATAATATTTTTAAACAATATTACTTTTGCTTTATAGAACAGTTTTTCACACAGTGCCTTCTCTCCATTACCTCATCTGATCCTCACCATGTCCTATTGGTAATGTTGGGATTACTGCTTATAGTTGAGGGAACCAAGACATAGCAAGGTTCAGTGGCTTAGGTCAGGTGCCAACAGCCTGTGAAAAGCACGTCTGCACTTGGATCCAGAATTCCCAACCAGCCAGTCAGGGCTTACTGCATGCTGCTACCTATGTCCTACTCCCATGTAGATTTGATCTTACTACCAGTTCTCATCCATTCAATCTTAGGGCTGGGTTTCTTGGATTTTCCAGAACCATGTAAAGAAAAGACAGGCAGAACCTTAAGAAAATTTCTCGATCAATCATATCTGTTAGCAAAGGAAGATGTAATATCATAAGTTGCCACAGTCTGGCTGGACAAGTCAAAATAACACCTGGTATTTTGCCAGGGGAATGTTAGAGTTCATAAACAAGTCTGGATGGTGCCTGGCAAAATACCAGGTGTTATTTTGACTTGTTTACAGACCTTAACAATGAGTCAAACTCATCCCAGAAAATTAAATTTCTAAAGCTTTCATAAGTCAGGCTCACAGGTATCCACTCCAGTTCAGACTTTGTCTATCCCCATAACAATCAACATCCCATAGAAAACAACTGGGAGGGAGAGATGTAAGACATGGCCTTTGGTGTTTTCCCCTGTGGAGGGAGGAGCGTACAAGCATCTCTTTGCTTCTCATGAGTTTCTGGCATCTTGGTGCTTGCCAGTGAGCTCTGTTACTAATCCTGTTGGGCCCAGAAGGATCACAGCACTCCTCCAACTTAGTACTGAGTTCACCTATATCCCTTGAATGCCCCTCACCACCACCCAATATTCATCCAGGAAATGAAGCAAGTGAAAAAGTAAAAGTACAGATAGGGGAGAGGTGAGGAGTGCATCTTTAACCATGTTCCCATCACCCAAGGAGCCTGGGAAAATTTTCTGAGAACAAAGTTACAGCAAAATGCTACCAGGTGCACCTACTACTTGATAAGAAAAGGATGGTGCATTAGGGGAGTTGTAATCTTCCTTACCTTTTCTTGCTAGAGGGATGATAACCCTGGGGATATCACCGTCTGCCAGGCTGCTTGCCCAGTCTGTGTCAACAACATCCTCTTTGAGAGTACCAGCATCTGTGCTGCCCAAGGGAGGGTCAAGATGCCACACAGGTGACCAGCTGCCACAGGGAGGGGAATAGCCTTCTCTTATACACATAGCTTGGTTCTCTGACACTATGTTTGGGAAGGGGAGGATCACTACTGTCTTTTAGGAGTGAATTATTTAGCATATGTCTTAGTCTATTTGTGCTCCTATAACAAAAATCTGAGACTGGCCAATTTATAAAGAATGGAAATTTATTTTTTCATAGTCTAGAGACTGGGAGGTCCAAGATGAAGGTGTTGGCATTTGGCACCTATGAAGTCTGTTCTCTTTGCTTCCAGGATGGCACCTGTTGCTGCGTCACTGCCATTCTTCATATGGCAAAAAGGCAGTTTGGAGCAAAGGGCCCTGACTAGTTCCACTGAGGTCTTTTTTTTTTTTTTTTTAAATACTGGTAATTGAACCCACAGGCACTTACCATTACATTCCCAGTCTTTCTTTTTAAATTTTTATTTGTTAGTTTTTGAGATAGGGTCCCACTAAGTTCCCCTGGATGGCCTTGAACGTGTAATCCTCCTGCCTCAGCCTCCTGAATATCTGGATTACAGGTGTGTGCCACCAGGCTCAGCTCACTCAACTACTCTTGAGGAATCTGTTCTCATGACTTAATCACTTCTCAAAAGTCCCCACCTCTTCATACTGTTGTGTTGAGAGTTAAGTTCAAATGTGACTTTGGAGGGGAAACCAACATTCTAACCATAACCGTAAATGCTAGATTCTTTTGGGTTCAAGATTACATAACCATGATAAAGACACCAAATAAGGGAGAGTGAGACATTCTAGTTCTACAGGTAATAAAACTGACACTGAATGCTTCCTAGGTACAGACACTGTCCTAATAATTTTATATGTATTAATTTGCTTACTTCTCACTCTGACCTGTGGGACATCTATTTTTACTATTTCCAATTTACACTTGAGATGACTTGGGATCTGGATCTGCTGTGGGGTACACAGCTACTAAGAAGTAGAACCGAGATTCCCAACTGCTCTGCCACTTTTGGGGGCTTTCCAAACATTGCATCTCTGCCTTCTGCCTTAGTCTCTGCTGTGCTTTGGTTTCCTAGTGCATCACAGCCTCGTGGAGTTTTACTTGCAGGAGCCAAGAAGAAAGGACACAAGCATCAAGATCACCTTTGTTAGCAGCAACGTCACCTCCTCAGTCAAGATCACCATGTACGTAAGGGTCCCACGTGGCTGACCCCTCTCCCCAGGAGTTGCCTTTACATTTTCCAAGTGTACACACTCCAAAAATCCCAGGTCAGGCTGAGATTGCCAACAGTTGGACCTAGATGACCTGGCTGGTGCAGCACTTATGTAGACTGACCCATAGACGCATTCTGGGGAAATGTCCCAGGTTAGTACGGGTTAGTGTGGGATTAGTACAGGTCCAAGCATAGGGTAGATGACAAGGCAAGCAGGCAGCAGTAATGGGATGTCCCAACAGGTGGTTAGAGCATAGGAATCATGTCCCTAATAGGAAACAGTGCTCAGGAAGGCCTCAGTCACTAGCCCAGGGAAGGGTGACCAGAGTTTGGGGAGCACTCAGGATTTTGGCAGCAAGTCAGTGAGCTGAGTGCTTTCTATTGGATCAATTCAAGGTCATGGTATTTCTAGAAGGGTGTTTGCCTCACCTCTCCAGAACACTGTAGATCGGTCAACAGTGGCAGAGTGATGTCAATGATGCACATTCCTGGCTGTGTCTTAGAATCACCTGGAGAACTTTAAAAATGGGGTCCACCCCACCAAAGTTCACCCCAGATAAACCACACAGCCAAAGCTCCATGAGTGGGTCTAATGGACATCCACAGGTTAGTGCCTCCTCCCCAAAAGACTTACATGAATTTTGAAGATGGCCACCAGAACATGTTAGCTTCTACCTTCAATTTTTTGAATTTTTAATCTTTAAGATAAAAAATTGGGGATGGGGCTTCCAAGGAGAAAGTATGTTCTTTTTCCTACAATCTTTAGCTTTGAGCAACACCAACATTAACTTTGAATTGTAGAATTTACCGGAGTCAAGTTCCCAAATTACTCACATAAACATCTTTCATATTCCTTCTATTTTGTAAGCTCCTCAATCTAAGCAGTTTCTTAAAAAGAACAATCTTATTTTTCCTCTAACGTATTTCAAAACACTTTGAAGAGTAGGGGATCTTTAAACAGTTATACAGTATCTTCCCTCAAAAGGAAAAAAACAAACTATATGCTTAACCTCAGACTAAAAGCTACACCCAAAAGATATGTCATCACTGCCAAGGAAAGAGAAATGGGGCTGGTCCCTGCTACATGGTGTGGAAGGGACCATGGCCCTTCTTTCCCTCTTTCTGCCCCAGAGCCCAGGGAGGAACAGAAAGGGTGGGCAGACCAGACCAGGGCCCAGGAGGCAAGTTCTTTCCCTCTAGCCTGGTGCAGTCCTTGCTGTCCTTCTCCCTGTCTTCCCAACATCATATCCTCAGGATTCTTCTGGAAGGGCTGAGCCTTGTTCCAAATTTGATGACTTTCATGGAAGGCCTCTTCTTCCACACTTGGATCTTACCATCTCTGGCCTTTATCTAAGGTCCCACAGCCCTTTTTGAAGCACTCTACCAGGCTGGGCACTTCATAATCTGCCTGCATCTTTGTCTCACTCTCCTTCCTCAACTTTGTCACTGATGAGGTGGTGCCTGCATCTTATACACTGATGGGGAAACTGAGGGCAAGGCCAAAAGAGTGGATTAAGAGAGACCTGAGCATTTTCACTCTGGGCCTTCTAGGTGGAAGTCCAACAGTTCTGAACACTGTGGTTCAAGCTCATGGTGGCCCATGGGGAAGCTGGGATTTATACTTAGGACTGTGTGAATCCAAGGCTACCTTGCTAGATTAGGTCACTTGTCCAAAGCCAGACAGCTTAGAAGAGACAAAACCTGGGGTCCACCCCAGCTCTGTCTGACTTCAAGACCTATTTTGTGGTTGTTACTATTGTTTTTCCATTCCTACTTTCATATCTGGCTTAATGCAGAGTACCCTTACACTATATTCTTGAACTCAGAGGCCCTAAAAGAGGGTTTCTATTTTCAAATAGTTGCATCTTAAAGTAAAGCTCTCCTTTACTTGTAAATCCAAGAGTGAGAGACATTTTTCCAGATATGAACTTCTAAGAGCTACTATTTTCCCACAGGGTCTACTCTTTTACTCTCAAAAATCAAGAAGTATTTCTTGAGTCACAGTCAAGACTGAAAATGTGTGGGTAGAGAGGCTGGTGAAATAATACAAAGGACCATGGTTCCCACCTTCAAGGAGCTAGTCCCTTTATGCATGACAACCAGCCAGTGTGATCAGCAAAGTCCTATCACAGCCAAAGAGGAAGCGAAGCAGAAAGTTCCAAGACATTCACTTTCCCTTTCCCTGTCCCTAGACCTGGACAGCAACTCCGGGGAAGAGGAGTCATAGCCCACCCTGAGCCACAGTGCCAGATAAAACAAGTGAAATTAAAGTTTCAGGCTTCCAGCCATGTTTGGAATAAAAACAAGAGTACCATCGTTGGGAAGTTCTGCATGACTCCTCTGCCCATCAATGACAGGTGAGCCCCTGTATCCAACCCCACCCCAGACACACACACACACACACACACACACACACACACACAAACACACCAAGCAACCACCCCTCCCATAGGTGCATTGCTTGTTGACATTCAATTTTGCCGTGATATTTACCATTTTAGCAGCAGAGAGGACAAAAACCCAGGGTTTTCCTAAAGCTCCCTAGTGGGAACTCTAGGGTTAGGGATGTTAGGAAGATGACAAGGAGGGTGGCATAAGAAGCAAGAAAAGGAGGAGGGGTTTGATTCTCCACCTCCACTTCAATGTAAGAAACTCACCTTTATAACTGCTTAATGTGTTTGGTATCCATGTAAGGTTTTATTGGAGCAACATTTTCTCATTGCCTATTTCCTCCTACTTAGCCTCCATTTCAAGTATGTCTCTGGTACAGTCATGGCTATGGATCTGGAATCCACATTCCCTTTCCCCTTCCTCTAGCAGGCATTTATATTATTTGTATTACCACCCCTGGACACTTGGAGGGCAAGGATAGGCTCCATTGTAGAAGACTGTAAACTCCTGTCACTGGACATCATGGGAACACAGAGACAAATAATTGACAGCCCTCTTTCTTCACCAACCAAGAAACTGCCTCCTGTTGCTCTTCTCTTGCAGTAAAAACACAGTATGTCTGCCTGAGCCAGTGAACTTACAAGCAAGTGTGTCTGTTTTTCATGACCTGAAAATAGCCTGTGGATAGCATAAACGTGGGTAGGACACCTCTCTGGACTTTTTTTGAGGAAAATATGGTGAGGGACATGTATATGTGTATGCAACATATGCTAGACTATTGCTACTAACAAGGAAGGTCAAATTCTTGATTATATTCCTCATAATTAGTTTCTATGGAGGGGAGATGACTCATTTTACAGAACTTGGTCCCCATTGCCGATCTGAAAAGCTCACGTGGATGCCATTTCAGCTTCCCTATTCCTACGTAACTGCAATTGCCTCACATCCTTGGGCATCTATACTTAGGATGCCATTGAAACAGAGAAGTTTTTTTTTTTTAAATAAAGCATCATGGAATTTCTGAATCATTTAAATATTTTATTGGAATGGAAATTCCCTTATGTAGAAAAAAAATGATTTATAATCTATGGGATTGGAGAAGACAGTAGATATTAAATTCTCTATATTAAAGTAGTAACTGAAAATTAGTTGGAACAAAAGAGGGGATGAAGAGTGGGGATGGGGAGGGCATCACTGACCATCCCGGTGCCTCCTTTGGGTCTCTGGAAGGTTTGGAGGATTTTGATCTTTGTAAATAACCTTGTTACCAGTCACAATCCATCAGAAAAAAAATAAAAATAAAAAACAAACAAAACCAGATGGTGAGCTCAAATTAAAAGTACTGTTTTCAATCATCCGTTGTGGGGAAGCAGTTGTCTGGGGCTAGTGGCGTGGGGGCTGCTGAGACCTGGGGCCTGAAGATGCAAGGAGAGAGCACCTGAGCCTAGAAGCAGAGGGGGCTGGGAACAGCCAGTCCTCCCGGGAGGAAGCGATTCCTGACATCACTTTTCTGGCTCCTTCATCCTCTTGCTCATCCTACCCATTGAATGACTGGAAGCCAGAAGACAAAAAACACCTCAGTGTGGCCCAAACAGGTCCAGGGCAAACATCAGGGCAAACATCAGGACAAAGATGGGTGGGGATGGGTAGGGTGGGTTAAAAATATTTGGGAAACACATATGATATTCACCTTCACCACCATTCCTCCTAGATTCTTCTCTTTATATTTTAAAAACTGAAATAAATACTCTTTAAAAGGAAACTGCTGACTTGTTGATTCTCTCTCCATACCAAAGTTGGGCAGAATGACGTAAGCAGCAGGATGCAGTTACTCCCCTGGGCCACTCACCCAGGGCAGCTGAAGCCAGAGCTTCCGCCTTCCCAAGCTGTGGAAATAAGCAGATGGCCAGGTGATGCAATGTGAATATTAGCCCACAGGCTTAATTATCTGCATGGTCACAGCCAATAGACGATGACACATCTGAAGAACCCACATATTCCCCAATACGTAGGCTTGGAATTTTTTTGTTTTTTCAAAACCAAAAAAACTCCTCTCCTCCTTCATTTTCCTTGCTGCTTGTTGCTTTTCTTCCAAGTGTGGATAAATCATATTACCCTTTTGTGATCAAAATTATGTCCCATGATGTTGACACTAACTGAGGTTAAAATGACCTGACCTGCTTTTCACTGACTTCATACTTTCCATTTTGCTTTTGGGCATAGCTGGGGGTGTTTCTTCATTAATAGCTTCTTATTTTAAAGCAGCACTAAATCCACTCACATGTTATTTTGCTCCCCATAAGAAATGATAGATTATTACTTTAAATGGGAAAAAAACAGCTTCCCTTATAAATTAACCCTAGAAATAAATACAATGAGAACACGACAATGTTTGAAATTCCAACTAAATATTGTGGTCTGCCAAAGGCTCTAAGCCCCAGGACTATTTTTTTCTCCCTAATTATAAAGGGAAGGTTGGCAAGTATAAGAGATGTTACAAATTTATCCACAATGAATGAGATTTTCTTCTATTTGTAACAGTGGATTAAAAGAAAATGAAATATGCAAGATTTCTCACTGTGGGGTTTAATGTTATTTAATGGTGGGTCTGTGTGCCACTAACAGTTAACTTGTGCAGAGTACATGCCTTCACTATGGGAAACCTGACTTGAGTAGGTAGGATGTCTGTGGGGTTAGGAATAACAGGAAGTTAATCGTAACTCTGCTCCATGGCAGGCCAAAGGCAGAGTTTGGATGGTTCTCCACACCCACATTGCTCACAGGACTCTGCTAAGACATTTTCATGAGCAGAGACTATTATTTATTTATTATATTATTATTTATGATTTATTTGACAGAAATAATTCAGTCAAAAGTCAGATTCACCACCAACTACAAGACACCTGCTGAAACTGCAAAGCAACTTGACCCTGGAAAGCCACACAATAAGAACAGCTGATATTGCTTTCTATTATGCTCCAGGTATTTGAGTGTTTCACACATGCTAAAATTTTATCCTTCCACAAGCCTATGAGAAACATGCAATTAGTACCCCCACTTTACAGATAGAAAAACTGAGCCTGAAGATATATCAAGATAATAGGACTAGTAACAAAATAACCAGGATTCAAATATGAGCTGTCTGGCTCTAGAGTAGGTGATTAACCATTCCTCAAACCAAGCTCAGGAACAGTACACCTTAAACCCATGGAACAGGAAGCTTCCAACAATGGAAGCCTCCAGGACTGGCTACATGATTTTCAGAGAGAACTGAAAAATGAAGATCTGTGCTCTTTGCAAAAAATAAAAATAAAAAATAAAAAAATTAAGAATTCAAGATGATGATAGCACATTAGGAAACAAATTGTGGGCCCTTCAAAATGTAGGGCCCAGTGTAATGGCTCAGGTACATGTCCAGGAAGCCAGTCCTGCAGCCAGGTGAGACACAGCCACTATTAATGCCCAGATGTGCTGGACAGTCCAGTCAAACTTGTGTAGTGTAACTGAGTCTAGATCCAGACAAAGCTTCAGTTGGCTAAGGAAGACAGTTGTAAAGGATGAAAAAATCAGCCAGGTGCAGTAGTGTATGTCTGTAATCCCAGCGGCTTGGGAGGCTGAGACAGGAGGATCGCAAGTTCAAAGCCAGTTTCAGCAAAAAGCGAGATGCTAAGCAACTCAGTGAGACCCTGACTCTAAATAAAATACAAAAACAATAGGGCTGGGGAGGGAGGTGGCTCAATGGTCAAGTGCCCCTGAGGTAAATCCTCAGTACCTGCTCCCCCACCAAAACAAAAGATGAATAAAAATCAAGATTGTAAGGCCTTTGGGAGGGGTGCAAGTGTTTCATCCAATGTTCAGATTCTGGGTTCTTCCAGTGTCAAGCACCACTTGATTTTTAAGCAAACCATAATTAAGGCTTTTTAGCCCTTTCTACACTAGAGACTGGGAGAGTTTGGTCCCCACAGGTACAGCACTGTGACAGGTGGGAGGAAGTCCATCTCCATTTGCATTTTGGGACCATCTTTCTCAACATGTGGGGCACTGGAGGCCTAGGGCACATTGACGAGGAAGAAAGTGGCTTCCTGACATCTTTTGACGTCTGATGATGAGAACGGACAGAGGAAAGACCTTCCAGCTATGTCTTACAGCTTTGAGGTCACCTAGGTACTGTGGGGTGGTAAACAGTGAGGAGGCTGCTTCTGAAGAGCAGGGCGGGCAGCTTCCACAAAGGAAATCCAGCTGAAATTTTGTCGATCTTTTCTAAGAAGCAACTTTTGGTTTTCTAGATTCTATTTCATTACTGTTCACTCTAATATTTTAATATTTTCTTCCTTGATTGGATATTTTCCCACAATTTTTAAAATAGAAAAAGCTAAGCTTATGACTTGACTCTTATTTTCACTTTTGATTTGTCAAAAGGCAAAAAATTCTTCATGGCCTACTGCCCCAAAATGGTAGTGTCATGGGATCACAGAGAGTTCTGGGGAAAAGGTAATTGGTTAATAAGACAAATGTTATTCTGCTACATACAAATTACTTATTTTTCACTTCTGGACTCAAATATCTGTTTCAGGAGACAAATTTGGAATGGAATTTCCCCTAAAATAACCCTCAATAAAATCGGAGATATAGAATGCACTAATTTTCTCACTAAAATCTGAGCCCCTAGTGGTGGTTTAATAGGCCTCCTCCTTTGGAATTCCTAGAGGAAGACCATTGTCTAAAAATCATATTCCTCAGGACAGAAGTTTAGAGTGCTCTGGGGTGTCTTTTGAGCTCAAAGATCATCCTTTCTCTGAGAACTGACCCCTGTCTAGGATGGGTCTACTGTAGGATCTTGTCCTTAGCCTTAGTTGATTGGACTAGCAGTGGACACTTGAGCTTGACCAGTTATATTTCTCTTGTAAACTTGAAATTGTGACTAAGGCAACCAGTCCTTCTCTTCAGGTAATTGGAATTCTTATATGAATTTGAGAGCTGAGGGTAGTTATAATTCCCCATATAATATAGAATTTAAAAACAGGGAAGGCTGATATGTAAGGAAAGAGAAACATGTTAAAGGTCTCCTGAGAGAAACAGAAAGATGATGTTGGGTTCCCTGATGCCTTTCTATTTCCCTGGTCTAGTCCCAAACTGAAACTTAGTGGCAGTTCTAACCTTGGATTCCCTAAGACAGCCCTGTGTCCTTATAATGAATCCCCCTTTGCTTCATCAAATTATCATTATCAGAAAATAATAAAATTTTCTGAGCATTTAGTATGTGCCAGGGAGGGTTTCAATCACTTTACCTAATTTATTTTATGTAATACTCCCAATAATTCCATGCAGTACTTCATTTTATATATTAAAAAACTGAAGAACATAAAAATTAAGTAACTTGCCCATGACATGCAGCTAGCACTGGATGAAAATCAGAATTTGTGCCAGGACGGTCAGACTTGGGAGCCTGGGCTCTCACTACTGTGTTAGACAGCTCGGACTGCTCAAGTCGTTATCAAGTACTTGCAACCAAAATGTCTTATCTAAATGAAGATCTCTTCAGCCTGAACCCACTCTGTCTAACTAAAATTATCTTCCATTTTTCTCCAAGGTGCTGAAGACTGTAGTTACCTAAAACATACTATGGTCTATGTCTCCTCCACGATTTTGCTCTCCCCTGCCCACTTTCCAGTACTGTGTCCTGATGTCATTTCAGTCAGTACTTATGGTGCATTTCAGTAGTGGTCAATAGCTTATTGCATCCATGTCAGGCTTTCAGGGTGAGATATAAGGAGCTTAGAAGAAGAGCTATTTTCTCTTTCTCATAGGAAGGATGCAAGAAAAGCCACTTGAATTGGATTAAAGAGAGTAATCTTAATCATGGAAACAAAGGCAGCGAAAGGAGTTCAGGCATAAGAGAGTCTTTACTTTAAAGGATCAGTTGATGTCTTTTCTATGTTTCCAGAATGGTCTTCATTTATTAATCTTTAAAATCTCACTTGCCAGTGTTGTATTTCAACATTGTAAGTCTCTATAAGAAGAAATCACGGTGGTAAATAAAAGATTAAAACATAAAATTTCCTTAATTGCTGAATTTTCAATTGACCTCCTTTGCTGAGTGGTCCCTTTCAAAGCTCAATACTTTGAAAGTGATGTATGTGCTTCTCCCCAATCTCAAACATACCCTGACCTCACTCTCAGACACAGCTCAGACCCTGTGATGACTATCACAGCCTTTCCTCCACCCTAGAAAAGGCTGGCTTCTTTCCCTTTGAGGAAAGTTTGGGGGTGATGAGAACACCCCAGTGTCCTAGTTCTTCCATGCTCCCATGAAGGACCTTAAGTCCTCTCTGACCCTCGATTTTCACCCCTCAGC